TTGACCCTTCGCAGCAAGTGCATGAGGTCCTCCTCAGTTTCAGCAAGCAGGGTTGTGTCATCTGTAGATTCCATTAACAATTATGTGAGTAGTCTCTTCTCAACCACAAAAACAATATTTAAGGAAGTCATTTAGGGAATCACCATATGAGGGAATCAGAATGACGGACTGTTAAAGCTAGATGGCTTCTTAAAGACATTATCTGGACTGCTCTTGCCTTCATATGACAGAGAAGAAACTGAGATAGAGAACATGACTATGAAGATATCACTCCACAAAGGAAGACTAGAAATGGCAATGCATTCAAAACAGAAGCCCAGAACAAAGAAATGCCGCAAAAACGCTCACTGCTATCTAGTCATAACCAACTCCTAACTGTCCTTCCACTGGGTTCCTGAGGCTGTCATCCCAAGGCTCATCAAATGAGATGAGATTGCCCATCTCTCTCCTATGGAGCCACGGATGGATTTACATCACTAGAGAGGCAGTCTTTAGGCTGGTAATGCAACTTTCCTTGACCTACAACACCTGAGCTGGTATACAGAGGAATCATTTTCATTAAAATAACACAGCTCAAAGAACCTTCATCTAGCTTATAAATCAAATAACATACAACAGAATGCTAAAGGGGATTAATGTTGTTGCAGAGAACTTTTATTATTTGGCACTCCTTCTATGGTCAAAATCCTACAGGTTGCAGGTGGGCCTAAGAATCAAGTTTCGTGCAGCTTTGCACACAAATGTGATATGGCCTGTGAGCAAATCCTGACAGGCCAGAACACACCACACTGGACTTTCACAGTAGACTGGGGCTCTCAAAACATCGCATATGATCTTGGCTTGAAATGAAAGAAGTATATAGATCTAGGTAGAACAGAGGTGACTGTAGAGTTCTGTTGTAGTCAGCACATAGCTGTTACAGTACAGTTGGGTAAAAGAACTCCTAAGAAACTTGGGTTACTAGAAGAGTAAAAATACTTAAAATATCACACAAGGAAAAGCTGATGAAATCAGAAATGTTCTTCCTACAGGAAAAAAATAACTTGAGAGGCTAAGACAATGTCTTTAAATATCTAAAGAAAAGGTAATATGGTTAATATGGAAGAAAAATTAGACTCTTCAGTGTGGTTCCAATATAGGAGTCCACTGTTTGAGTTTTGGGATATGGTCCATAGTCCCTCAGGTTTTAAGGAAAAGTTTTGTGTATTTGTGTACATTTTTCTGAGGAAAGCGTGTTTAGAACCTCCAAAAGACCAGCAAAAATAACTAAGACATATTGGGTCAAAATGTGAGGAGGGCAGTTCTGGCCCAGTATGACAAAGAACTATGACAATTGCCCAGAAATGGAATAGGGTTCCAGAAAACTGTAGGTTTTCTCTCAGGGGTGAAATCGTTCCAGGAGTGATGCATGGATTCTGATTTCCTTTTCAATAGCGAAATCCATAAGCATTTTTCATATTTGGTCGGTGACTATCTTCAGACCTACCTAATAGAAGTAATTTCTTCCTTTCTGAAAATTACTATCTTTGTACTGAGGCTTAGTAATTGAAATACGTACTACAACCAAGATGTCATATCTAAAGAACAAACTTTCATTCCAATAGTGGAGAAAAAAAGATAAGCCACATTTTTAAAAAGACATAGACTACAATCTACAAGGAAAAGGTATCTTTAAACTGTCAGATGAAACTCAACTCTTAAGTAATTTATTCAAGGAAATAATGTTTTACATATTTGAACCTAAGATTTCTTTCCTATTTAGGACATCATTAAGACTTACCTGTGTGCCATACATACTGAACCCATACATATGTGCTGGCAGCAAAAAAAAGCCATTGTATGGGGATGAAGAGCAGACATATTATATTTGACGTGAACGCTACACAAACAAAAAATACTGAGAAGGCCTAAAGAGGGAAAAAGAAAACAAGATATAAAAACAACCTGACAACTTGTTATTTTCAAGAAGAGGTTGTTAAAAGCATAAACATGTTGGGCATAATCTCTAAACCTTCCCTGCAATAACTATAAGTTGGTTAACAACAGGAAGGGTTAAACATTTCAAATCAATCAAAATATATATTAAAATAGTTGTTAATTTAACATCAAAGCATAATACTATTTACAGACTTCAAATTAGGAAGAACTTAACCTGAACAAATTAAGATTTGTTCAGAGAGTTCATGTGGACTCCACTGGTAGGTTCTCTGAAAGAACCAGTAGCTTAACACACACAAGTTCCTTCCTCCTCACAAACCTTCCTGAGGGACCTCATTCTTAAAGAATAGACTTTTTTTAGCACAGACAAGTCAGTAACTACAATGCTGTCGATAAATAACTCATTAACACAACTTTCTTCTTGGCCCTATAGATTGCGCTCATATAGGATATGAGCTAGAAACCATCTTTTCAAGGTCTAGATTTGCTCCAGGCTTGAGGAAAAGAAGGGTTATAGCTTTAGGTTGTGGCTATGGGACACAACAGAACCAACAGGTCAACCAAGGAACCAAGTCCAAACTCGTGACCTTCTTCAAAGTCAGTAATTCTCAAAACATGGCATGCAGATCACTGGAGGTCCCGCTGAGATCATTTCTTGGGGAGGTCTCTGAGGTCAAAATTCTTTTCATAGTAATACTGAAATGTCATCTGCCTTTTTCATTCATTTTCTCATAAGCACAACAGAGTTTTCTAGAAGCTACATGATATGTTATAATACAACGGAATAAACTTAAAAGTAGATAAGAAAATTTGGCCATCTTCTTTTAAGTCAAACATGAAACTGATCCTCTCTCTAAAAGGTAACCACTCTTCCAGTTGTTTTGTTTTGGAAAACACAGTTCTTTTTCTTTTGTAAAAAAAACATATTTATATTAACATGCAATCTGTCTATTATTTTAATTTTTAAGTTAACAAATATTTCAACATTTTCACAGTTTTAATTTCAAATATAGTAAATATAGATAGATATAAACAAAAGTTCCCTACAGTTCTCAAGAGTTAAGAGTGTAAAAGGGTCTTAAGACCAAAGAGTTTTGAGGGCCACTGTTCTAACCCAAACCCAATCACCAGCACAGTGACAGGGGCTTTGGAAATACTCAGGTAATAACTGGCATAAGTAAATATAACTGGCACAAGCAATTATTGCTTCCTCCCCTAAAGTTTCCCTCCACATAACTCCCATTACTAACAAATGCAGTGGAGGGAGTGAAATAACTTGATCAGTGAATTTAAATAAAATAGCCTTAGAGGCAAGTTTCAGGTGACAGTCAATACAGCCATCTAAATATTGTAAAATATACTTTAAATAGTTTCATTAAAAAAAAAAAGAAAGAAAACAGTTTCATCATTAGCTAATGAAGACTTTTTTAGCAGGGTAAGTAAATCCTTCATTCACAGAAAACATGTACCAGCAAACCTACCAGTCCCTGGTATCTGAAGGAATCGTAGACGCTTCTGATGAAAAGCCAGAATGGCCACAGGTATTCAAACCTGAACTCCAGGACAAAATCTGCCAGAAGCACAAGTGCCCACACTACCAGGAATTTCAGGTACAAAAAGGTGCTGTAAAACAAAAAAAGAAAAAATTGATTCAAAATCACTTTTGAAGAACTAGAAAAAGATAACATAATGATTCTGTTTAAGAGAGGCTAAGATTAGAGACCATAAAAATAATGGAAGTAGAGGGTAGGAAAAAACACTGCTGTGCTCTAAGCTACATTTTTAAAGCTCAGGTAATCACTCTAAGTCCCATAGGTAACAAAATAAAAGGATGACCCAAACAGCTTAATTCCATTTGAGATAGAAGGGAAAAAATTAAATCTCACCATCATTTAAAAATGTGCTAAGTGACTGACTTCAAAACACTGCAACGCTCAAAATTACAGCTTTCAAGCTGTTCTTCATTAGATGAAAATGTCACAGTTGAAAAGCTTCAAATTTGCTGTTTCCCCACCCCTCTACATCTGTTAGCAGTGCATATGAAACCCTTGCTGCACATCCCTACAAGCTTGAAGAATTCTTTTTTACCCTTTCTCCTCTTGTCTTGCTATATTCATCTGCACTAAGCAAAAAATATCCAAATGACTTCTCAAAATAGACAAAGTAATTTAAAGAGCAGATGTCAATCACAAATGGCTGATGTGCACATAAAAACTCACATTAGAGGAAAAACACCTCTTAAAGCATCCAGGCTTTGTGCTAGGAGAGAAATAAATACATATACTCAATGCTTACTGCACTTACTCCTGCTTCCATGGGACTGTGGATCCAACTAAAAGAAAATCACTGATAAACTTCAATGAGGATACATCTGACTCAAGTCATGGTATTTACAATTGCTTCATATGCAGGGGAAACTCAGACAGAGAAGAAGGCAGGCTAAACAAGAACTGATGACTTCTGTGGTGTTGGTAAAGAATACTGAAAAGACTCTTGAAAGAACAAACAAATCTGTCTTTGAAGAAATGCTGCAAGAGTGCTTCTTAGAAGCAAGGGTAGTAATAGTTCAACTCTTACACTCTGAGTACGTTGTGAGGAGATAATCCTTGGGAAAGTAGAGGATCACCTAAGGAGTGGAAGACTCTCAAGACCCTCAATGCGACAGACTGACACAGTGGCTGTAACAACAGGCTTAAGCACAACAGAGATTGTGAAGATGGCACAGGATCAGGCAGAGTTAAGCTCTGCTGTACACAGATCACCACATGTTGGATGGCTCTTAACAAACACACCAACTTAAACAGAACCACCTTGACAAGCTGCTTGACTGGAACACACATCTAACCAATGCCTGAACTCAAAAGAAGGTAAAGATGATGATAAAAATTACTTTTTGTATAATCTAAAAGGGTACAATTACATAATGGGTAAGTTGTCCGATTCTATGAAGTCTTTTTTAAAAATTTTTTTAATTATATTATTTTGTGTGTGTGTACCGTCAAATCAGATCCGACTGGTATAGAAGGAGATTGCCCCTCTTTCTCCAGCAGAGCATCTGGTGGATTTGAACCATTACCCCTGGGATTGCAATGCAGTATCTTGCCACACTAGACCACCAGAGCTCCCTGATTCTATTAAGTCTTTAATTCTATTACCCCAAAATCATCACACCATACTTCAGGTATTTTGCTAGGAGGGGCTATTTCTTGGAAAAGAAAATGATGCTTAGAAAGGTGGAGGGTCAGCAAATGAGAGGAAAACCACTGACCAGGTGGATTATTACCATGCCTACCACAACGGGCTCTAATGTGCCAGGAAGTATGAGGATAGCACAGGATAGGCCAGGTTTCAGATCTGTTGTTCATAGGGTGACTCAATGGCACCTAACAATAACCATCCCATCAAGTAGAGCCCTAGTGACACTGTGGTTAAATCAATCAAACTGCTAACCAAAAGGCTGGAGGTCAAACACACCAGCTGTATCATGGGAGAAAGATGTGGCAGTCGGCTTCCGTTAAAGTCTGCAGCTTCAGAAATGGTAGTAAACAGTTATATTCTGCCCGGTAAGATCACTACAAGTCAGACTCAACTTCTTTCACAACAATGATGATTGATGATTGGTTTGTGGGTTTCCCCCAATTCTGTCAAAAGATACTGGTGGCACAATGTTAAGTACTAGGCTACTAAACAGAAATTGGTGCTGTGAACCAACTCAGTGGTCCCACAGGAGAAAGACCTGAAAATCTCCTTCCATAAAGATCACAGCCAAAAACCCACACAGGCAGTCCTAGCCTGTCACATGTGGTCAATATGAACAACGATCAACTCACGGGGCAGTCCACAGCAACAAACCTGTCAGGGATTGCTTAACTGGAAGACCTGTGAAGCTAGCTGCTAAACAAAAGGCTGCAAAGTCAAATCTTCTAACGATGCCTCAGAAGAAATACATGGTAACCTAAGTCTGCATGATTTTGCCATGGAGGTGATTTTTGACTCATGATCACCAGTCATTGGATTTCCAGGCTATAAAATTGTATCGACAGAGACTACTCTTCTTTCTGTCATGGAGTAGCTAGTGGATTTGAACTGCTGACTTTTTAGTAAGCGATCTAGCACATAACACACTATGCCTCCAGGGCTCTCTTTATGT